ATCATCAGGTACAAGTAATTTACACAGACACGGATATATATATATCTTTGTTCAATCTGTATATATATATCCGTGTCTGTGTAAATTACTTGTACCTGATGATGACAAAACCTTGTCGAAACGTTGTACATTTGCTGTCATGTTAAACTTATATTAAAGTTTTTCTTCATTACCCATTTAAGCCGTCTCCAGCCATTATTAAGAGTATCAGATATACAAAGCCTACCTTTTTCAACAAATGTTCTAGCAATATTTAAATGTATAGGAGCTTAAATCACACTTTTTCAACAAATGTTCTTCTAAACCATACTTTTTAAATAAATTTTCTTCCAAACCCTATGTTTATTCAACAAATCTTTTAGCAATAATTAAATGTACAGGAGTCTACATCACATTTTTTAACAAATGTTCTTCTAAAGCCTACTTTTTTCAACAAATGTTTTAGCAATGTTTGCAAGTAAAGGTATCTAAAGTACACTGTTTCAACTAATGTTCTTCTAAAGCCCACCTTTTTTAAATAGATTTTCTTGTGCTACTACTCTCGTGTTCCAAATAATAGTGTAGGGTGGAAAAATATCAAGAATTTAATAATTGTGCAGAGTGGAAAAACTCAGACCTCAAATTTAATGATTGTACAGGTTGAAATCTTAGTATGAATTGAATTTTGTGTTTTTAGATAACAGTTAACCAAAGTCTTCAAACCTTTTGTTATGCAAAGACAGTTTAATTGTGTGCCATTATTATTCCACTGAACCAGGAATATCACTTTCCCCAAATTTAACTTCAGGTATTGAAATGTTTATAAATTCATTCTTGAAAAAACACATCAATAGAAATCCACCTTTAAAGCTTAAAAGTTTATAACACAGTTTTGTTTAGAGATCTAAATAACCTTGTCCTACATAAACATCATTATCATTTTATCAACTTCCATCTAACAAGTGAAGAATTGACAAGTCAACGTCATAAAGAAAGTTGAGATGATAGCTACAGTTGCTAGTACTTTACTTCCATTAATGGGAAAAATATACAAGGAAATAATAATTGTATTTAATAGAACTCTCTATTTCTAATATAAAAATCATAAAAACCTTTTTCAGGTTCCTCAGTAATATCTGGGCGTGTAAGATCACTAAAGAAAAAACAAAACAAAGATGATATATCAATCTACTCATTCAAAGAATCAAAAATCGTAAAATATGTAACTATTTAATAATAACCACATAGATAGGTGAATTAGAAAAAATTAATAAGTTTAACAGCTCAATATGAATTAGAGATAATTGAACGTCATATATAATTATTCAGTATTTATTACAATATCCTGAATTAGAGACAACAATTGTCATATGTATTTATTGAGCATTATATGTATTTATTAACTAGTACATGTATTTATTAACCATCATATGTATTTATTAACTATTACATGTATTTATTAACTATCATATGTATTTATTAACTATTACATGTATTTATTAACAATTATATGTATTTATT